GCGGCGCATATGCCAGAACAGTTAACAAGCAGTTATAAAGTCGAATTTGGGCACAGGGGTGTGGGTATGTAGACTAGGTCGTTTCGTTAAAAAACGAAGTCAAGGAGGGAGAGGAGAAGACAAATGAGAAGGCAAAGAAGAGGAGGGAGATTGTGATGATGATAATGTTGATGATGGTGATACTGAAGAAGAAGAAGGAAGGAGGAAGGAAGAAGAAGGCAGGAAGAAGAAGGAAGAAGGAAAAAGAAGGAGGAAGAAGGGAGGAAGGAAGGAAGGGAAGAAGAAAGGAAGGGAAGAAGAAAGGAATGGAGAAAGGAAGGGAGGAAGGAAGAAAGGGAGAGATAAAGAAAGGGAGGAAGGGAGGAAGAAAGGAAGGAAGGAGGGAAGGAAGAAGGAAGGAAGAAGGAAGAAGGAAGGAAGAAGGAAGGAAAAAGGAAGGGACGAAGGTAGGAAAGAAGGAAGAAGGAAAGAAGGAAGAAGGAAGGAGGAGGAGGCGAAGAAGAAAAAGGACGAGGAAGAGGTCAACACAAACCTCTCATAAAAACCGTACGAGCTAAAACCAGCGAGCAAAGATAGAAAAGGTAACACGAGGGCGGTAACATCAAGAGATGGACGTAGCGGGCCAATGCTCCATTGGAAGTTAGAAATTCAGAAAAGGAAAAAGAAGATGAACGTGCCGAGTGTGTACAGACAAAATGTGAGACACGTGTGTTGGATATTGGGACATTACCAAAAACAATTAGTTAATCATTAAAAGTTCAGGTTAGTTGCGTATCCTTTACAGGACGTTGTTTTTCTAGGCAAATTTGCATCCGGTAGTTTGCCATTGCTTCCTGGACGGTCGGCTTTCTTGATACTACTGTCGAAACCAACGCAAGGCGCATGACCCGCAGCTGGGATCGAACCCGGCAATTGGAAGCAGTTAATAGATAGATAGATAGATAGATAGATAGATAGATAGATAGATAGATAGATAGATAGATAGATAGATAGATAGATAGATAGATAGATAGATAGATAGATAGATAGATAGATAGATAGATAGATAGATAGATAGATAGATAGATAGATAGATAGATAGATAGATAGATAGATAGATAGATAGATAGATAGATAGATAGATAGATAGATAGATAGATAGATAGATAGATAGATAGATAGATAGATATATAGATAGATAGATAGATAGATAGGTAGGTAGGTAGGTAGGTAGATAGATAGATAGATAGATATAGATAGATAGATAGATAGATAGATGATAGATAGAGATAGATAGATAGATAGATAGATAGATAGATGATAGATAGATAGATAGATAGATAGATAGATAGATAGATAGATAGATAGATAGATAGATAGATAGATAGATTAGATAGATTAGATAGATTAGATTAGATAGACAGACAGACAGACAGACAGACAGACAGACAGACAGACAGACAGACAGACAGACAGACAGACAGCGAGGTAGATTATTTACCACATTCTGTTTGAAGTGAATCTGACAGATAACCACAGAACCTGGTTTATCGATCGACCACATTACACAGCCAGATAAAATGACACCAATTTGCGAATGTGGCTGACAGAATTAAACTGTCGCTACATAAGAATGGATGCATTCTATCTTTCATAACGCTGTGATTATGTACCTCCATTTAGAATTATTTCTTTGCTTGGCTGGAATTATCTCCAAGTTTGGCTGGCCGAAACACAGGGATATCTTTGCATAGTTTTTCCCTGTGACACATCCTCGTGTGTGGGAGTGGGCGGGATTTGACAGGTTTGGTTAGCTAAGCAGTAAAATCACTACCGTGATGTCTTCTCTACGAATAACTAGACATTAGCGCGCAAGAAGGCGGGCACCGACATTTCTGTGACAAACCAGAAAATAAACTGTTGTAGGAAAGAGAGACGGATTGGATCTGTGTTAACGTTATTTTGTTTCGGGACGTGCGGATGAGTAGGTAGGGAAAGTCGTAGAGTCACTAAGGAGTAAAAAAATAACAGGCCTAAACATCATGGATAACTTTGATAATACTTGACATTTGTTTTGTAACAAAAGGAAATAATTTGTTTACCGAAGAGTTGTCCAATCAAAGCGGTGAGTTTAAAACCTGGCATATGTTGTCTAAAGTATGTTAAGTAATTTTGAAGCCGCGATATTCTGTTCAGCCATCTGAGTTATAATTGAGACAAATAGTTTTTAGTTATTATTTTGTTTCAATTTTGGATATGTTTGCTTGGATATGTATGCTTTGATATGTATGCTTGGATATGTATGCTTCAATATGTATGCTTGGATATGTATGCTTAGATATTTATGCTTGGAAATGTATGTCTTCACAGATATTAATGCGTAATAATTCTGATAGTAGTAGTGACGTCTTTAGATAAGTAATTCCCGGGGATTTTACAAACTGCATCAGCCTGTCACGAAATTCTTAAAGTCATTATGTGGGGCTATAGCGTCATCATTATCCTCACCATCTTGTCATGCCTGCACAGCTGGGAGTGACCAGGGGATATGGTTGACACTCTACATTCAGAGGAAAAGCAAGACGCACATACTTATTATGAAGACATTTTTTTCTACCTCTGTTTAATGAAACCGAAGTTCTTTATTAATATCCTATCCCAGATGACGTCACAGGACAGTCCAACATTTTAGAGGGTGGTAAGACTGGGTTTCCCGGATTTCTGATGCTTTTAACGACCCCAAAACATAGAGAACTGGCCCTAACCCCAACCCACCTAGGTCCCACGAGAGAGTGCAGCCTAGGTCCCACGATGGCACGCAGCTTAGGTACCACGACTGCATGCAGCCTATCCACACCCCCTGAAATATCAGACTGTCCCGTGACCTGTGAATTTCCACTGTACGGGGTAGGATATTATTAAAGCACCGAAACCGCTACTTACACCATCGGAATTGAAACTCTTGGCTGGCTGACGATGATGACGAAACGCCTACGGGATTGTCCCAAGTGTTGTGACGTCAGTTCTTGGCTGCACACTCTTGTCATACTGTTTTTTATATGTCACATAGGGCTCACGGTTGTTTCTTTCATTCCAATTGTTTCAATACCATGGATGGTCATCAGTCCATCACCTTTGGCCTCGCTCTTCACCGTTCGTCTTAGTGTTTCTTTTGAGCGTCCTGGTTTTCCTCAATCCATCCATCCCCCCTTCCCTTCAATTAAAATGTTTGTTTTGCGATTCTCTGTTAGCTTCTCTTCCTATTATATGGACGTCTTCTGTGAGCTAATCAAATCTCAAATTTGGGTACTTTCCTAATATCCTACACCAAACAGGGGAAATCCACAGGTCATGGGACAGTCTAATTTTTCAGGGGGTGGTAGATGGGCTGCATGCAGTCGTGGGACCTAGGCTGCACTCTCTCGTGGGACGTAGATTGGGTGGGGGCCAGTTCTAGATGTTTTGGGGTCATTAAAAGCATCAGAAAGCCGGAAAACCCAGTCTTACCACCCTCTTAAATGTTGGACTGTCCTGTGACGTCATCTGGGGGTAGGATATTGCGAAAGAACCCATATTTGTTGACATGATGTTTATCATCATCAACATGTTTGACATGGATAGAGGCATACACTGATATTCTGCCTTCCTCCTTCAGGTTTCCAAGCCCTTGAGGTTCATTGCTGCAGATATCACCTGCCTCCATTCATTCCTCTGGGTGGCCTTCTTTAACCTTCCGAGCACTTGAGTTTCATTGCTGCAGATATCACCCGCCTCGATTCATCTCTCTGGTTGGCCTTCTATTTGCATTTGAAAACTCCAAGTGTTTGTAGGTCTGTCTGTATATTATCTCTCCACCATCTTCTTGCTCTACTCCCATTCAACTCCTCTCTGCACACAGATTTTTCCCTTTCATCTGCCATTCTCTCAGTGTGTCCCAGCCATTTCCGTTTATTTATTGATGTGTATATATACAGTGGTCACGTTAGCGCAGTCGATAAGAGGCTCGCTTTCAAATCCAGCTGCGACTTGCTGCAGCCCACGGTCGGTGTTCGAAACCCGGTGGTTCCCTGTGTTCACCCAGCCTCTAGAGTTGACACTCTGGGGTAAATGAAGGAACTTTGCTGGAGCTACAGAGTTAAGTGCGGACGGCGACACAGGCGGAGAATTTCTATCAGCTATCCATACTGGTGGCAAAGCACTTATGGTTTATAACCGTGTGCAATGTTGCTGGTTCACTTCTCCCGACTTTACCTTTATCTTTACCTTTATTGAGGTATATAATTCATTTCAAATATTTAGGATCCATTTTAAGTGACTTGTGGTCAAGACCAGAAATCATGTCTAGGATTTCCCAGACAACATCAGTCCTTGCCAAGCAGCAAACATGGAGATCCAAAAACATTTCATGCAAAACTCAGATTTGATTGCTCATATCATTAGCTATTAGTAATTTTACATATGGCTGTGAAATGTGGATCTTAACAGCTGAACTTGAAAGAATGATACAAGCATTAGAAATGCTAATGTTTAGACAAGTTCTTGGAATATCATACAGAGACCACATAACAAATGAAGAGGTTCACCATAAAATTATACAGCACCTTGGCAGCTATGAACCTCTTTTAACTACAGTGTAAAGGCAAAAAAGGCAAAAAATGCAATGGTATGGACATGTAATAAGATATAACACCTCTGAAAAAAAAAAAAAAATTCTTCAAGGCTCAGTAGAGGGAAAGAGGAGAAAAGGCAGACTAAGAAAGACCTGGATACAGAACTTGACTGACTAGACAGGCCTCGGGCATGCAGCCTTAAAGTCCATCGCAACTGACCACCAAAGGTGGAGAGAGCTGATCAACGACACATATTGTTATAGGATGATGATGTTGATATAACTTACCTGGTATCTGGAAACTTCCTCGCAATATTATTTCTTCATAAACGTGTTGCAGTTACCTTTACAACAATTTTATTTTAACAGGTTGTGTCATAGTCTGAAGAGAAAGTTGCCCTGAGAAAAGTGAATGGCTTCGCCATTGCTTATCTTGTTTTCCACTTCTGTAATCGCGGGGTTTCTGGCCACACTGCTCCTGGTTGTAGCAGTGTCAGTGGACAACTGGGAGCACACAAGTTATGACCTTCATCTCTTGAGAAGTGTCAATGCATCCTGCAGGTCAGTTCAAACATTTAGTCTAGGACAGGGCCATTCAACTAAATTTATCACAAGCTGAAATCAAAATGTTCAAAAAGGGGTATTATCGCAGAGCAGAGGCTAAAGTCTCAGTATTGAAAGATCCTTATAAAATGTAACTGGCAGGTCATCCATGGGCTACTTGCTATGCCCCTGCAGGCCAAATTTGTCCCACAGGCCATCAGTTGAATAGTCAGTTGAATTTTCTTGCATGTTTTTTACAAATTAAGAAGTTTGTAGGCAACAGAGTTGTGGTTCTTGAGAAGAATGTTAAGAATACCTTGGACTGCCAGAATAACTAACACTGATTTCCTGGAAATGGCTGATGAAAATAGAACATTATATACAACAATGAGAAGATGACAAAGTTCTTTGGTCATGTGATGAGAAAAGGAGGACTAGAAAATTTCTGATGACTGGAAAAATCACTGGTAGAAGAGTGAGAGGCAGACCAGGAGAAACGATGGTGGATGGCTTAAGACAGAGCATGAAGGAATTTTATCAGTGGAATTGATCCAGAACACCGAAGACCGAAATCTGTGGGGATGCATGAACGCCTATACCAACTGGCAAGGCACTTGATGATGATGTCCTTTACAGGTCATTGTAGAACCAACTCCAGTTTTTTGTGTTGTGTGACTGTTTGTTATTTCCTTGGACAATTTGATGTTCACTAGTTTGCCGCTGCTTTCTCAATGGTCAGCTCTAGACACCACTGGTGAAACCATAGCTAGATGGTCTGCTACCAAACTGCCCACAGCTGGGATCAAACCCACCACTTCAGAATTATGAAACACATTTGCAGCACGTAGGCCACTGATGTCAGAAACCCGTTAAAAACAACCTAGGAGCAAGGCTGCAGGCCTAACTTATACTAAATTTTATACTGATGGTAGATTGTTGGGGGGGGGGGGGGGGGGGGGGGGGGTGGGGGGTGGGTGGGTGGGGGGGGGGGTGGTATTAATTGTGTCTAAGGCTTTTAAATTGCTTAATAATAATACTGATAATGTACCGAAGTAAAAATAAAAGATCTTTTCCACCCATTAGGCATATTGGTATATAATGCTAGACCTATATTTTATACACCAATCAGCACTTGGTGGATGATGTTGTCAGTATCATGCCGGCCACCTTTACTTTCCAGGACTTCACGTAGAACCCATTTTAGGCTGGGTCGACCTGGGAGCCAAGGTAATTTTTGAAAAAAAAAAAAGTCTAGCTTTGTTCATATTTAAACCCACGATCTTCAGATCTGCAGGTGAGCATCTAGCACTATACAAAGGCATATACCAAATGTACTGAATGGCAAACAAGTTAAATTTGTGTTTGAAATAATCTGATGCCATCATCGTGTGGTAAAAACACGGAGTCATGTCTCTACGGTGTGTCACCTGAAAATGCTGAGCATGTGCTCCAACACTGTCAACTGTATGCTGACAACAGAGACACAATCTGGCCTGTTCCAACCACAATGAAGACAAAACTGTATGGTACAAGGATATGGACTGCATGATAGCTTTCATAAAGGCTACCGGCCTCCTGATATAAGTTTTCTGACAGAAGGATCGAAGAAGAAGACGCAGATCGTGTGGTAGGTCCTTTGCAGAATGTCTCTTTCATCACAACTTTCCTGAAAGAAACTCATCTCTTGCCAGATCCCCTAATCCCTGCACTTTCCTACCCAGGATGTCACTTATATTCTGTGCCCTTCTTCATGCAGGTCAACCCTCTCCCATTTCCTGGCACCATGCCATCTGCTACTATTCTTTCCAATGTGCTGTGATGCTAGAAATGGGCAAAATATTTCAGTTTCTGAGACAAGATGCAGTTTATCATCCAATCTTCCATGATGTTCAGATCTTTCAGGATGTCAGTGTTTAGTTCAAAAAACCCATATTTTCTTCCTTAACGACTGTGAGATATTCCATGTCTCATATTTATATGTTGCTACCGGAAAGATGCATGCCCTCAAAATATGGACCTGATTTCCTTGAGGGTGCTTAACATTAGATTTATGATGCTGTTTAATGTTTTATATGTGTTTAAATGTGTGTGTGTGTGCATGTGTGTGTGTGCGTGGTATGTGCATGTTCATGTGCGTGTGTGGTGCATGTGTGTATGCGTGTGTGTGTGTGTATGCATGCGTGTGTGTGTGTGTAAAAAAATTGTTAAAAAATAAAACATTTAAATATTGAATGACATCTTCCGCCTGTTGTTAACAGAGAACCTAAATGCTTATATATGTGTACTAGCTGTACCCAGTCACACGTTGCTGTGGCCCAGAATGGTGTAATGGAAAAGAAAGAAAATAGCTCTCAGCTTACAGTGTCTGTCATCCCCCCTCCTCTCCCATCGACCCAGTCATATCTTCCTCCTGAAGGATTGAAAAATCTTTCCTGGCGAAATTATTTTAAAAAAAAAGTTAAGAAATGAGAACTTTAAAATAATGTTTTAAGCTCTCTCAGTTAATATTGTCTGACATCAACCCCCCTTATCCCTCTCCCCCCCCCCCTCACTAATTATATCCTTTTCTCCGAAGGATGGGAAAGTCATCATCTGACGAAATATTGTAACTAAATTGAGTTTGGCATCCGTGTCCACCCAGCCTAAAATGGGTAGCATTAATTTGTACTGAGAAGTACATGTGGCCAGTGTGTAACTGCTAGCTAACCACAACAACAATAACAACAACAAAAAACTGTCACTACAGTATGTGTAGGTCGGTGTAGCCAGAGGAGTTAGCGCTGTATGTTGTCGCAACGGAAGGTTTAGTTTAATTTTGCCCCCGACATAGAAAAAAAAACTTCATCACCTAACCAGTGATGGAACACACAATAAAAAGTACACTATACTAACAAATAGGGGAGAAAAATACCCAGCACACGTCATCTCTCCCTCTCCGAAGGGAGATTTTTAACTGACCTTGGCATACATGTCCACCCAAACTAAACTGGACTGTAAGCCGTCTTAGTTAACAGTTACTGTCATCGTCCAAAAGTTTTTGACCTAGAAGCATTGTGGAAAGGCTAACTTTGACTTTACTGAAATCGGATGTCTTTGGCCAAAGGAGCAGATATCGCAGTCTATCTGTAAACCACAACACAATGTGGCAGCCACCCTTTTAAGGGAAAAAGAACAATTATCACCCAGCGGGGAATCAAACACCAGATATCCGTACGAAGGGTGGAATACTTGCAACTATACTACCGAACACTGAAGAATTTAGGTCAGATATTGCAGCCTAGCTGTAAACCACAACACAACGTGCCAATGGCACTCTCGAGGGCAAACGAAGATTACCCGTGACATGACTATTGAGCATCACGTCTCCGCTATTGCAGGCTAGCTGTTAACCCCAAAACCGAAAAAAGGCGTAGATATTGCAGCCTAGCCATACGCCACAACACAACGTGTCAGCTGCCCAGTTAAGGGCCCCCAAAAATTATATTACCTAGCGGGGAATCGAACGCGAGTCACCAGCATGATAGGCTGATATCACAGTCTAGCTGTAAACCACAACACAATGTGGCAACCACCTTTTAAGGGAAAAAGAACAATTATCTCCCAGCGGGGAATCGAACACCGATCACTCACGTGAAGGGTAGAATACTTACAACTATACTACCGAAGACTGAAGAGTTTAGGTCAGATATCACAGTCTAGCTGTAAACCACAACACAACGTGGCAACCACCCTTTTAAGGGAAAAAGAACAATTATTACCCAGCGGGGAATCGAACACCGATCACTCACGTGAAGGGTAGAATACTTACAACTATACAACTGAAGACTGAAGAGTTTAGGTAAGATATCACAGCCTAGCTGTAAACCACAACACAATGTGCCAGCCGCCCAGTTAAGGAATAAAAAAAATTTGTATCACCTTGCGGGGAATCGAACGTGGGTCACCTGAATAATAGGCAGAATATTTACAACTACGCTACCGAACTCGCAAGCTGATTGTGGAAATTAAATTATATAATAATGCAAAGTTCAATAAGAGCTCAGCAGTCAAAAATGGCCAATCAACTAAAAACAAATCCGGTGGGGCAATGAAACAAATAATGATTTGACCGTTGCTGGAGCTACGTTGTTCATGGTTTGTGCGATTTTCTGACAAAAAATCACGCTTTGAGTCAAAGGCAACATTGTGTGAAAAATTGAAAGCAAGCTGTTCAGTAGTGTCTGAGTCTATAGTTAACAAACTCGGGAAATTAACATTTTTATTTATATATATATATATATATATATATATATATATATATATATATATATATATATATATATATATATATATATATATATATATATATATATATATACAGTAGCTTCAGACTATTCTATTTTACATCAGTGTTATGCATTTCTCTCATTGATTCACTAGCTAGTTAGCTGTTAAGTTGTGTATCCTATACAGTATGTTGCAGAAACAACCTCAGCGGTTTTTTTTTTTTTTTGGGGGGGGGGGGGGGTGGAGGGTTACTGTTGTGGTTTTTTGTGCAAATTTATGTTCAGTAGCTTGCCATTGTTTACTGAACAGTACCACTATCAAAACCAACAAAAGGCAGTCTGCTGCCAAATCGCATACAGCTGGAATCAAACCTGGCACCTCAGCATTATGAAGCACGTTTGCAACACCTAAGCCTTAGATGATGAAATTTCTCGCATATTCGGAAGTAAAAGAAAGTTACATCTGCACGCACACAAAATAACTCCACAGATTTCAATTTCAGAACCCAAGCTCATATTGAGTGCCAGGTCACGCAAATCTCTGATGACCCCTTGATGATCCGATTTGATGAGTTTGGCAACAACAACAGCAGAAACTACAGCAGCCTGTTGCTCTCAACTCACGGTGGCTTGTGGAGGGTGTGTCACGATCTCACAGGTAATACAATCTTTCACTAGCAAATAACGGTTTTATAGAAGATGTCAGTGAAGAAATATCCATGAATAAATTCATTAATAAATTACTTTCAAAATGATAATTTAACAGTACTGGCGACAATTGTACAAACCAAATTTCTTGAGAGTGTTCTGACCAAATACAAAAGTAAGAGAGCATAATAAGCTAAAGAGGGGATTCAGTAGGCAGTATGATTCACACATCCCACATTGTTTGGGACTCAAAGAGTTAAAACAAAATAGAACTTTTAATGCCTATTTTTAAAACTTTTTAGGGTGTATAATTGCATTGCTAGTGCAGTTGCCACAAACTATGCAGCTTAGGATATTTTTTGGAGACCCTAACACCCCCCCCCCCCCCCCCCCCCCCCCCCCCCCCCCCCCCCCTTTTCACCCTTTTCCCCACTAAACAAACTAATTGTGTCATTACTTCTGGTTGTGACCCATTTCCCGTAAAAGTCAGTGTTTTTGCATTTCTGCAGTGATGTTAGTTAGTTAGTTGGGTTATCATCATTGCACTCCGGACATGTCCATAGGTGCTCAGATCCTCCCCTCAGTATGAACCCCAACGTCCGATGGCTAATAGTACCAGTTCTATGTTGATTAACAAGTCTTCTGTCGTGTCTGGTGTGCGTCTCGTTTTTTGCTATGCTGATCTTAATTTCTTAAAGTCTGCCATTCTGGCGAGTGATGTGGATTCACTGCTCCCAAAGTCCTCTATTCTTCCCATTTCTCTGAGGGCAATAATAATATCAGCATGATCCATAGGCTGACCGTTGGTAGTGATAGCGGATCCAGCCAACCTGTCAGCTCTTGCTGCCAGTCGTATGTTCTCAAAAAGTGTTGCTAAATGTCAATGGTTCTGAATATACCTCCACAGTGTTTGTTAATCCTGGAAATGAATATATTTACTAAATATAGTATTTAGGAGTTTCTCTTGTGAATCAAATGCAGCATTCATGGCTAAGGTGTTGCGAGTCTGACTTGTAATTCCAACGTACCTTGATCGAAACCCACTGCTGGCTGCATGGATTTTTATCATGGTATGGGGTGTCGCAATTTGACCCAGCCTAAAATGGGTACCAGGATTATGTAATTGTGTTGTATAATCATGTCATGTTATGTCACTGCATCATGTTATGTCATTAAAGCATGTCATTTCATTATGTCATGTCATAATGCAGTGTAATGCTCTTATGTCCTGGGAAAGTACAGATGGCGAGCGTAATGCTGACCACATTACCCACTCAGTGCCGATTGGTCTGTAAAAATATGGGATGCTCTTCCCATATGCCCGATGCGCCTAAGGTGAAAAAATTGATCTTTACTTTACTTACTTGTAAATCAAATAGTTTTTTAAAACCACTATAACATCAAATTTCCACATAACCTTAGTGATATATGTCATGGGGTCATTACATGAGCCTGTCAATACTTTTTGGGAGCTCAGGGAATGCATTCCTTTTCATGCTTTTTCTGTCCATGCAAAGTGCATGGGTTTTCAGGGCAAGAACCGAAGGGAAAGTCATGAGGACAGGGGAGCCTTTGCTTCTACCATCACCAGCATGACAATGAGAGTCATGGCTGTGACAAAGGTCCTAGAATGGCTGAAAACTCAGGAATTCACCAATCATGTATGCTCAGTGACTCAGTAGCATGCTAAAGAGATTAGGAAGGGGTACATTCAGAAACAGTAGGTCCATCTGATACAACACACAGCTTTTCACAAAATCACCTATTGTCCCAGGGCATGCTGGTGTGAAAGGCAATGAGAGAGCAGATGCTCTCGCTGGCAGTGCGACTAACAGGAATGGGCCCTCTATGGACAGGGGAGAAATCATCAATGCTATATGAGAGACTAAACACTGTGAGCCTTTCAGTTTCATGGAAAATGATTTTTCCCTGAATAGACTGCATACCCTGGGTGTACCAATTGAAACAGTGAGACAGGAAAACCATGCTGGAGCCACCAGTAGTTACATCTACCAGAACAGAACGGGAGTTGTTAGCCTAAAAACACTTGTAGACATGCTCAAGAGGAGATCGAAGCATTTATGTTCATGTCTGATGTGCGATGAAGATGATCTTCAAAATAAACAATGAACAGTGAACAGTCTGTTCATGTTTATCGATTACTCTCGTTTTATATATATATACACACATCTTTATATATTTAAATAAAAAACATGTTTACAAATATAAATAATTACATTTCTTTAAAAAAAATATTTCAGTAACCTGTGTAAAATTGTCATTTCTAAAAAAGATTTTTGTTGAGGGGGAATTCTCATGGATTCACAAAATGGTGCCACACAAAAAACAAATAAATAAATTTAGTTCTGTAGCCTTTACAGAATGTTGCAGAACCAGCCCCAGTATTTGTTGGCTGTTGTGGTTTCTCTAGGAAAGTTATACGTTTAGTAGTTTGCCCTTGCTTCCTGAACAATCAGTGCTTGGTACCACTGTCGAAACCAACGCAAGACAAATCGTCCGCAGCTGGGAACGGACCCAACACCCGGGCATTACGAAGCGCGTTTGCAACACTTAAGCCACAGACAGTGACACTCACCACAAAGTCTCTATAAAAAAGATGCCAGTACTCACTTCAAAATGTCGAGAAAAAAGTGCCAATGGTCATGAGAACGTGTTTATCACAAAAGTGCTGAAATAAATTATGTCTTTTAAAAAAAAGTGCCAGTAGTACTTCGTACCATTTTCTACCACCATTAAAAAAGCCCTGGGTATAACACTCTAATAAAAACAAATTTTTTTTTGCGGGGGGGAAGGGGGTTTAATGTAAGTGAGTAAGAGGTACACATTGATGCAAGTGGGAGGATAATAGCAAGAGATGAGTATATAAATCCTTGGCAAAAGAAAGAGCATGCTGGAGTTCCATTGCAGCCAACTTTCATTTTGGAGACAACATCTCTTCAACTGAGCATCATATGCCCACTGTGACAGTGTCGGGAAAATAATCCTTGTTGCCTTCTTCTTAATCTCCTGAGTTGCTTGGTTTTTGAAAATATGGAATTGGCACCATGTATCTAAAACACTTTAACAGAATAGTTAGAAGTTTGAACAATGGATCAACATCATGGTACACGGGTAGTAACCCATAAGTGCTTCGTACTTCTTCTAACACAAATCTGAGTCTGAAGAAGCTCAGCACAGGTTCTAAAGCACTGGCAAGGATCCTGAAATACGGTGGGTAAATTTTTAACTACAAATTTTCCCTGGGCAGCCCCGATATGTAATGGGTCAACTATCTCCCCTGTTGACACACAAGCAGATACCTCTGAGTACTAAAGTGATTCTTATCAGAAATATTTTTTAGCCAACACTATGCTATCAATGCCAAACGTGGACACTTACATCCTCCAAAGAATGTAAAATTGTGATAACAGAGATGAAATGCCTTAGAAGAGCTGCAGGAGTTTCAAGAAAAGATAGAATACGAAATCATGAAATCAGACAAATGCTAGGAATAAAGCCAGTCTTACAGGTCATCAAAGAACAACAAATGAAGTGGTTTGGACACCTAACAAGAATGCCCTGGTATTATCTGCCACAGCGAGCCACACTAAAACGTTACAACGGGTATAGAGCGAGTGGAAGACCTAGAAAAATATGGAGTGATGGCATTAAGAACAGCCTTACAGAAATGAATATCAGTCTTAATAGTGCTCTTGACAGAGCTTATCAACGAACATTACATCTCCCCCCGACACTTCGATGAGGTAAAAGGTGGAAGAGAAGAAGAAGAAGAAGAAGAAGAAGCACCGATAGGCTACTCTTTTCAATTACCAATTGCCAAGGAAATTTTTTACGTGTACAACAATACACACGGGCATCCGATATGACTACCCAGAGACCAGGGGGAATTACTGAAGTCCAGGTCCATGTAAAAAAAATCCCAGTCCTTACTGGGGATTGAACCCGAAACCTCTAGCACTCGAGGCGGACACCAGGCCTCAAGACAACGCAGGCGCCTCCCTCCCCACCCCCACCAAACCTCCTGAAAAAAAACAGCATTAAAAAAATAAACAGCATAAAACATTAAACAGCATAAAAAAGATTTATGACAGTTTTTGTTTTGTTATAAAATCATGCAGATTTAGGACAAGAGGGCCTTTTGTCTAGGACACAAAATCAATACTTGATGGCATTGTCTTGCATACACAGGGTGTTCCTAGCAGAACAATAGGCTCCTGATTGGGGGAGCAAATGACACTAGACCCCACAACAGAACAGGAGTTGTTAGCCTAAAAGCACTTGAAGACATACTCAGGAGGAGATTGGAGCAATTATGGTCATGTCCGATGTGCGATGAAGATGATCTTTAAATTAAAAAAATGAACCACTTCTGACTTACAGCTGTATTTATCACGTAACATGGATACGAACTATTGAAAGAGTCAATGGCATGCAATATTCTATTTGTTCAACAGATAAACTCATCTCTGAACATATCAGTGCAGGCGGCAGTAATTACAATGGACAAAGGTGCTATACCTACGTGACTGATTACGATGAGGAATCAGAACAGCTAACAAAGGAAACAAAACAGATAGCTCGTAAGTTTATACGGATAGATTGTAAATTTATACATATTTGTACATTTAGTGCAAGATTTCAGTTTTGCTTGGGGCTTATGTTTAGGAAAATATTTCACTTTAGAATGAGACATAAATTTAGGACAAGATTATAGTTTATGGTATGTTTATGGTAATTATGATAAGTGTCAGATTTCAGTTTTGATGACACATATAATTAGGAATATTTGTAAATTGAAGAAAATATTCAGTAAAGATGAATTTGTGTTAAAAAGAAATGTGTATCAGAGTTTAATCTGGTCAGAGAGATATGTACATTTCTCTCGGAGATATATAACAAACATACACTCTGAGAACTCAATTAACACTATATAACCCAATCATGAGGGTTGAACAGGATATTCTTGAACTATTAACTACCACTACTTCTGTTGAGTGGTTTCATATATTCTTGTTCGTAATTATAACACTGTCTATTTATGTTGTGCTGATGCAGGCATTCTAGCCACATCGTTCACTTGTTGCATGCGATTGTGATAATGTAAAACTGACTATTCTACTTTTCCTTTGTACAAGTTAATAATACGAAAATCAAACCAGTGGAAACATATAAGTATTTGGGTGCAAATTTTAACTGCTCTAGCATGCTGAGAGAAAAAATACAATCTTGAATACAATCTGGGAAAAAAGTATAATATGCCCTTCAACATCTGCCAAAGTCAAAGTCTCTATCTCACAACAATAAGATCAAAATAGATAAGATGTTGTTAAGACTAGTTGTTTTATTTGGCTGTTAAACTTAGAACACAACTAAAAGATATGAAGCCCTGTTACAGGTTTTCTAAAACAGAGTGTTACGATGAATCTTTAGACCCATTAACTCTTTGAGTCCCAAGGAACACATCATACGTTCATAGAAGCCCAATGAATGCATGATGTGCCGATTTTATGACTCTCTTTACTACCCCCTGGGCCTGTGATGCTAAACCCCCTGGGACTCAAAGAGTTAAAGATGCAAACAGCAGGGAATGGAGAGCAAGAAGCAACAACAAAATTCAGAATCTGTTGTGTATTTACAAGGAAGCAGAATGGTGGTAGACCAAGAGGCCGATCAAGAAGACGATGTAGAGATAATGTCTAGAGAGATCTGCAAACACTCAGTGTTACCAACTGGAAAGAGAAGGTCAACCAGAGAGATGAGTGGAGGCAGGTGATATCTGCAGCAATGAATCTCAAGGGCTCGGATTGCTGAAGAAGAAGAAGAAGATTCTACCTTCTCATTTATATTTATATATTTTCATGATATTGTTTTTGAATTTTGGTGGGACAGGACTTCAGAATTCAGCTGCTTCCTGTTTCATTGTTGTTCTCATGGACCTTTGCTCGGCTGCAGTTGTGGGAATTCTGGGACTGATCCACAAGCAAGTGGCTTCCTGCATGATAGCTGGTGTTCTCTACCTCACGGCTGGTAGGTTTTTTAAATGTCAAAGAAAGCACCAGTTTAAAAAAAAATAAAGGACCATTTTCACATCTTCAGGGGAATTAGGCATATAGGGCTAGACCTAAATTTTATGGACCAATCGGCTCTCAGGGAGGGTGGGGCTTGGGGGCGGGGTGACATTGGAGGGTGATGTGGTCAGCATCATGCCAGCTGCCTTTACTTCTCAGGTCTTGACCTGATTCCCACTCAAGGCTGGGTCAACCTGGAAGCCAAGAAAAGTCAGACTCCAATTGGATTCAAACCCATGACTTTTGGATTCACAGGTAAGCATTTTGCCACTATACCACAGCGGCTCCATTGACTGACTCGATATTACTCCTGTGCACCAGTCGACATGTTGAGCATGTTTGTACAACATGCGATTATTCAGGGCATACTCCAACACTCGACCAACGTGTCGGTTTCCTACAAGGATTGTGTATTTAGGCCCTGTGGATGTAATACCCATGAATTTGCTACTGTCATTATTTCATCAATCAGACGTTAGCTATGACCTTCTGGGAATGAAAGAGTTAAATAAATATTGTTTACAAGAGAACCTCATCTTCTCCTTCTTTACATTCACCAGCTGTGAACTCCAGTCCTGGTTGGTTTCCTGGACCTTTGGTCTTGTTCCATAACTTGAGTGTTGTATGCACATCTGTTTTACAGATCTGGCTTATTTCTGTACAGACTGTTGGTTACTTGTCTCTCAGGCAGACACACTCTAATTTATGAAGGAAACTTCTTCTTCCTCTTCTTCTTTGTGTTTGGTTTCGTATGCTCAGATCAGACCATCAGGTGGGTTGCCTCTATGAACTTGCATATCAGCTGCAGGTCCTTCATGGTTCCCCATAGCTTACATTGCACACTTTGCTCTTGAGACCAGGTGTATTTTCGAAGTTGTAGGTATGGGTCGGAAACATGGAAAACAACCAAGGCAATTACTAATAAATTACAGATATTCATTAACAGGTGCCTGCGCAGAATAGAGGGAATTAAATGGTATGATAGAATAACTAATGCAGAGCTTTGGGAGAGAACTAAACAGGCTCTAGTGGGCCAAGAGGGAGGAAAAGACACTGGCGTTGGATAGGACACACTCTGAGAAAACATGAGAACAGCATAACTAGAATGTCTTTGCATTGGAACCCACAGGGGCATAGGAATAAAGGAAGGCCAAAAAACACATGGAGAAGAGAGCTGGAGAATGAAGTTAAAAGGATGGGGAGGACATGGGGAGAGCTCTATGCAATGGCGAAGGATAGAATGACTTGGCATGAGTTGGTTGAGGGCCTATGCTCCATAGGGGGATAGAAAGGCAAAAGAAGAAGAAGAAGAAGGTAGAGTGGTCAGGTCTGCAGATTGTGCTAAGATGATTGTGGTTCTGTCTGACAGGCACACTGTAGGGACTGTACAATCTTTATTTTGTGCATGTGGTAGTTGAGCCTGCAGTGTTCTGTTTGCAGACAGAAAATTGTTGTATGTTGTTTTCTGTTGAGTCTGCTGATGGGGTCTTGTGGATGTTTACTGTTGGTTTGTTCTAGCCACAATTCCTTGTATTTTCCCTTGATGAAGGAAGCAGCAATCCTATCTAAGTAGCCCAGGCTCCAGGTTGGGAATCTTTATAGACAGGTCTGGACCAGTATGAGACCTGATCCTTTTGCACCACAACATGTAGTACAGCATCTCTCTATCCCATGAGAACCTCATAAGAACAACTACTTCACTTCTCCATCTAGTTAGCATGATCAGGAACCTGGAGTCTGGTTTTCTTCATATGGAAAGGGTCACATCAATCTAGAGGCCACAAGTGTTGACAATTACATAGATATTTTGTCTGGGCTGTGTAGGTATGTTTGGGAATGAGCAGGTAGATAGGCCGGCTCAACTGACCCAACCTAGGGGGTGTACTGTAACTGCTATAGGAGGGGTGGGTTGATCTCTCGACTGTGGGATGAGTTAACAAGTAAAATAAAAATGTCAAAAACCCGTAACCGGAGAGAATGATACAGCAGAGAGTGTCTGCTGGCTCAAGGTGCCACTTGAGACGGGGGAAAGGGGGGGGGGGGGGGCAAGACAAGTAGTTAACCAGATGACACATTTACCAACAGTATAGAGACTCTTTGCTGGTCGTTGAGGAGGGAGACAGAGCTAATGTGTGCTTGTCCTGAGTGCTGTGATGTTGAATACCAGATGAACCTAGATGTTAGTTGCATATCCACTTCAGGACATCACAAACCAATCCCAGCATCTGTTAGCTGTTTCTAGTTTTACTAGTTTTATATTAGGTACTTTGCCATTGCTTTCTGACTATAATTAAAGGACTCTTTTCACTTCAGTGGTGCATAGGGCATATGGCGTGATTTATAGTTTTTTTTTTTAAAGACCAAGTGTCACTCACTGGGTTAGCCACCTTTACTTCCCAGGACTTAGTCTTATCTTAGTCGAGGCTGCAACTTCATTGCAAGCAGGTTTCCCCATACTTGTTCCGTTCCTATGATAGTGCAAATCAAATGTCCCTCACTGTCGCATTTGAAAAACTAGTGAACAGTTAATTAGTCCCAGAACAATCCAGAAATATGCGCATACAGTAAATGCATATGGCAGTTGCTAGAGGTGTCAAAGCCAACAGCGCCACCAGAAATACAGTTCCTCTTGATGAAAGCGGTCGGGCGTAACATGTTGGCTTACCACACGTAGAGCAACCACATAAGGTATTTAACCAGCTCACATGTAAACCAGCAACTGGAAATATTGAATACCACAACACAGCCGCTGCATAAATGAAAGATATTACACATAAAAATATTTTAAAAAGCTCACAGTGCTGCACCAAGCACTAAACTCAGTAGCTTAGGCAGCGAAACCATAGACTACAATCCATATATGGAAACTGCATTAATAAAATGCTGTCAGAAGTAAAAATAACTTTGAAGCTTAACATTCTGCCATGCCTATTCCTCCATTTTAGACAGCACATTACCTGATACCCATTTTAAGCTAGTTCCACAGGGAAGCCAAGGTCAGCTTTGAAGAACTAAATCCACTTTAGTGCAGATTTCCTCTTCTTCTTACTGGCTGTTAACTTTAGCAGAAAAGAAAGTAAGGGACTCTTTTTCATGCCTTCAGGGCGTATTGGGTATATAGGGCCAGACCTATATTTTATTAATCAGTCGGCACTTAGAGGGTTGATGTGGTCAGCATCTTGCCTGCCACCTTTACTTCTCAAGACTGTACCTGGTACCCATTTAAGGGTGGGTCGACCTGATAGCCAGAGCTAATTAACAAAATTTTTTTGGGTCTTGTCTAGACCTGAACCCATGACTTTATGATCCACAGGTGAGCTCTAGCCACTACAACATAGCAGCTCCCCACTGTAGCAGTAAAATCAATATCAAAAGTAATATTACAAAGACTCCTGGTAAATGCATCTGAGTTGTAACAGTGTTATGCTTTCCTTCCTTCCACAGCCTTATTTGGTGTGTTTGGCCTATCAATGTTTCATACAAAAGACTACTATGAGAAATATAAATGCTATGCTATCGATGAAATTCCTTCAAAAGTCTGCAGTTCTCGGACAGTGACCGTCGGCTACGCTGTTCCTTTAGCATGGGCAGGGATTGTGATGTGTATCTTAGCCTGCTTCATCTGGCTCTTTGTGTCCAAGGTTCTCAGGGTGCTCAGGGCAAAGACCATGTTGTAGCTATGTTATGTCATGTCATGTTATGTTATGTTATGTGTGTCCTTGTCTGCCTCATTTGGCTCTTTGTGTCCAAGGTTCTCAGAGTTTTGTCACGTTATGTCATGCTATGTTTTGTCATGTTATGTTTTGTCATGTTATGGCATGTTATATTTTGTCATGTCATGTTATGTTTTGTCATGTTTTGTCATTTTATGTTTTGTCATGTTATGTTTTGTCATGTTATGTCATGTTATGTTTTGTCATGTTATGTCATGTTATGTTTTTTATGTCATGTTAAATACATTATGTTATGTTATGTTTTTTATGTCATGTTAAATACGTTATGTTATGTTTTATCATGTTTTGTCATGTTATGTCATGTTATGTACATTATGTTACGTTATGTCATGTTATGTTATGTGACATCATGCAATATTTTGTGATTCATCTTTTTCAGCATTGGGAGTCCTTGAGGTTCACTTCTGCAGAGATTGCCCGCCTAAATTCATCTCTCTGGTTTGCCTTCTCTTTCCAGTTGGTAACACCAAGTGTTTTTATTGTCTGGATATTATCTGTCCATCGTCTTCTTGGTCTGCCCCGTGGTATTTGACCATTCAGCTCCCTTCTGTATACAGTTTTTTTTATCTATCATCTGTCATTCTCTCAATATGCCCCAGCCATTTCAGTCTATTAGATCTCATGATGCCAGTGTTCAGTAGTGATTTCAACAGATTAAAAATTTCATGTTGCTTCTAATTCTCTGTTTACCGCTGTCTGCATCTTTGATGGGTCCAAAAAGTCATTTTTTAATGTCATGTAATTATGTCAGCCATGTAATGATGTCACGTCTGTATGTCATGTAATTATGTTGTGTCATCATGTCATGTAATTAGGTTATGTCACTGCATCATGTTATGTCATTATAGCATGCCATTTCATTATGTCATATCATTATGCCATGTAATGCTCTTATGTCACGACATGACATTATGGTAAAAGAAGAAAAAAAGGAAAAAATGCAAAAAAGAAGAAGAGAATGATGATGAAGAAGAAGAAGAAGAGAAGAAGTTTACAGCTAACTGTGAACTTTTGTACAGGAGAGTTTGAAGCACAGATAGAGGAAAAAACTGCATACATTTATTATGTCTTTTGTATGTATATATTTGCAACTAATTTATGACATCTCTCATATTTATGGAGACAGATGCAAGACCAATTTACCACTTTCCAATTGTGTTTATGTATTGGCACATATGCATAGAGCAGCTTGCTTACTTTCCTTTGCTATTTCTGTTTGGATGCAGAGGTAAGGTTACTTACCTCATTTAATTTGTATGTGTGAAGAAACAGAAACTAACGCACTAACATCCCTTCATATTTATCTTTTGAGAAATAGAGACTAACAATTGACTTACCTTCAAATTTATGTTTGCAGAAACAGTGACTAACATACTCACATCCTTCCAAATTTATCTTTTTGAGTAATAGAGTGTAACAACTGACATACTTTCAAATTACATTTGGAGAAATAGAGACTAACGTACTCACATCCCTCCATATTTATGTTTTGTGAAATAGAGACTTACTGACTTATCTTCAAATTTATGTTTGCAGAAACAGTGACTAATGCACTCATATCCCTCTATATTTATCTTTTGAAAAACAGAGACTAACATACTGACTTCACTTCATATTTTTTTGGAGAAACAGAGACTAACATACTCACATCACTGTATATTTATTTTAAGAGAAACAGAAACTAACTCATATTTCATTTTCATATTTACATGTGGAGAAACAGAGATAAACCACGACCGGCTCCAGCTAACGACACATTAACACAGCGGTTCTCAAACAAGAAATAAACTATTTTCGACAGTGGCGAGGAAAGACAACTTACATTTTGACTTTTAAGTATCTACATGCCTTCTTTTAATAATTTCACAATTTTTAGCCGACTTTTCTTGATTATTGCCGTGGCACCCCTGGCATACGCTCATGGCACCCCAGGGCGCCTTGGTACCCAGTTTGAGAAACGCTGCGGTAATGCATCGTTAGCCCGACCCGGTGAGGTCAGCAGCACGGCCCGTCAGCTGGAGCCGGTCGTGGATAAACATATTTACATTTCTCTGCACTTACACCTGGTGACTAAATGAGAGATCAACATTTTTATCTGTGTTATGTATTTATGCTAAGCCACAGTTTAGAAATGAATTCCTATACAGTTTTGTTTACTAATTTATTCTTATACAGTTTTTTTATATCGCCCATAATTGATTTATCAAAAATAATATTCATGCTTAAAATAAACCGTTAATTAATTATTGTATGTAACATACACTGTTGATGAATTCACGTCTGAAGATAAAGAACGAGATGTACCAACATGCAACATGATGCAAACTTTGATGAAATGGAAGCAGTCTAGAACATATCTAACCAAGACAGTGGTAGCGAGAAGAAGTACAAGGCAACAACTTTTCTTTAGAAGTTGTAATTTGTAGTTTGTATTGTTTAACTCTCTGCAAAGTATCAAAATATTCTATTTGGTACATTCAATATTGCACGTTAGATGTGTGTTTTTGTTTTCTGTTTTGTATGTATGTGTCCACTCCAGTGTCCAGAAAACAAAATAAACATAATGTATATTTTATTCTAAAAGGCTGTGCCAAAGTACAAAGACAATCAAAAAATAAAACAATATTTTTTGAATTTTTTAAATATAAATTCCCAGGAGGAATATCATTTTAATAATTGTCTTTGTAAGCATTTTCATCATCATCATTACCATGACCATCATCTTCATCATGTGAAGTCAGTAATGGTAATGATTTAATTTCATACTTTGCCATTTGATTTTATCTTTTTTGTGGTACATGATATTTTTACTCCATGCTGCTGTTTCTTTTTCTTCTTGTCCCTGCATCCTAAATTAAATGCAACTGAATCCTTCTTAAACTTAACTCTTTTGATACCAGAAGGTTTCACAGAGCTTCCCACAGCAAAGAAATGACCATGATAAAGAACAAAATCATTAATGCATTACTTTCAAAGTGGCAATATAAAGTAAAGAAAAGTAAAGATCCCTTATCACGCCTTTAGGCGCATCGGGTATATGGGAAGAGCACCCATATTTTTTCAGACCATCGGCACTAGGTGGGTAATGTAGTCAGCATTACGCCGGCAGTCTCTTCTTTCCCAGGACAGCCATTCTGGTACCCATTTTTAGGCTGGGTTGACCTGCGACGCCCTATACCACAATAAAAATCCATGCAGCCAGTAGTGGGTTTTGATCGCGGTGCGTTAGAATAACGAGTCTGACTCTCAAAGCCTAAGCCACGGAAAGTGGCAATATACACAGTTGTAATTATGAGTGTGGGGGAGCCAGATTTCTCTAGTACGTCCTGACTAAAATGTTGTAAGAGAACACAATATGCTATAGAGGAAAAACAATGGATGGAGTTCGTCCACACATCAGGTGTTGCTTGGAATTGAAAAGAGTCAAATGGTAGTCCTTTAGTATTTACTGCTGCTAATCTTCACATGTTCTAGGTCATAACATCTGAGATAGGGTGGTCAGTTTCTTTCTTTATTATCTTAAAGAAGTTTAGTAAACTAACATAGAACTGGTGGCATAAGCCACTACACGCTAAAGAAGATACTTCTTCTTCTGCGTTCATCTGAAAATGTAATTGTGTTGTGTCCATTTACAGCATGGCTGTGATATTTGCACCTTTCCGCCAACACATTCGACTTTTGCGGACATTTGTTGACCCAGTTAGCCTTCCCGGTTGAAGGAGAGACTGAAGAAAGGATCTGAGCACTTATAGACTGAATGGTTAGATGTGTGATGAGGATAATTTTTCGACTAACTAACTATCATGAAATATTCGGGTAGTCATTTTTATACAGCTGGGTCAACTCTAGAGCTATACTGACTGTGGAAAAAAAGAATCCTGCCCATGTTAGGGTTTGAACTCAAATCAAGTATTAAGTGATGCTGAACCACATATGACAGAGCACCAGCATCAGGGCTCATACTGGTCAAGACATGTCTACACTCTGTGATGTGGTCATAGAAATAGATTTGCAGCTGGGAGCCTGGTCAATGTAGACAAGATTGACCTGTTTTTTTTTTGCATTTACCTGAGAGGCAAGGAATCAACAGTCTACACACAAATGGCTTGCCAGATATGTAAAACTGGTGTGCATGCAACCCTCAGGTCCTGGAACTAGACAAAGCTCAAAACATGGATGAACTACAAGAAGAAAAAGAAGAAGAAGAAGCAGCAGCAGCAGCAGCAGCGGCAGCAGAAGGAGAAGCAGAAAGAGGAGGAGGGGGAGGAGGAGAAGGGGGAAGGAGGAGGAGAACTTTGTATGCTTTGAAACTTATTTGTTAAAGTTCTGTTTCCACAGGTGATGAGATTGTTCCGTTACATCCATTGTTCTTTTATCCATTGTTTTGCTATTCACTAAATTATGATAATCGCAATGCTGGTGCCAATAAATAAATGCTCAAAGTTGTCAGCTTTTAGTGATATTTTGATTTTAGTGATATTTTAATTTTAGTGATATTTTGATTTTAGTGATATTTTGATTTTAGTGATATTTTGATTTTAGTGATATTTTGATTTTAGTGATATTTTGATTTTAGTGATATTTAAAGGCTTTGTTTTTGTTGACATTCAACAGCTTTTTAATAATATATAATGTTTCACTTTCAATGAATGTCAGAAAAAGTCAGGAATAATATAGAGAATCTGTTATATACCTATTAATAAAAAATTGGCACTTTGCCAAAGTCACCTTGGGGCGAAATCGTTGTTTAGAGAAACTTCACATTTAAACCTTTTCCTAAGAACTGTCTAGTTACATGATGAGTAATTTGTTTTTGTTGACATTCAACAGCTTTTTAATAATATATAATGTTTCACTTTCAATGAATGTCAGAAAAAGTCAGGAATAATATAGAGAATCTGTTATATACCTATTAATAAAAAATTGGCACTTTGCCAAAGTCA